TAATTCCAAATGAATCTGTCCAGAAGAAATGAGCAGCATCAGAGACAGGTAGGCTTTTGGGGTTTTCCCCCCCCCCCCCAAAAAAAATTTTTTTTCTCCACAGAGATCTGTCTGAGAATAATGTTTGTGCTGAGGAGTTTGGATGTGGGGACTCCTTTCTGGGTGTAGGTTTTCTTCCACGGAAATTTGTGGCAAGGATGAGGCCAGAATCCCAGAGTGTATCATGCGAAAGGCTCTCCATGACAGTCCCTGTCTGCCCTTCTCAGGGTGACGTAATCTGTACTCAGTAATAATGTTTCGAAGAGGTGGATAACAGCATTTTAGTTCAGCTCTAATAATTCTGTTAAATCAGAGCTGGGGTTGTAATTGCTGTTTGTGACTGAGTTTGTTCCATATGTGTGTTTTGCAGGATGCCATTATAATGAAATGTTCCCTCTTTGAGCTGTATGCCCTAAAGAATATGCCTTTATTGTGTGGCAGGCAAAACACTCATCTGCTCTCTGCCTCTGATGTGCCTTATAACCAAAGAAGAGGAAAAAGAAGTCATGTTTCACCTTGTTTCAATTTCTTTTGTAAATTTTAAGTTGTGTAAGTGTTAGTCTTCATTTGCTTTAGTAACACACAGCCTTGCTGGAGTCCTGTTCATTTCTTTTAATAAAAAAGCCTGCAAGCCTGTGTGCATCTGAGGGTTTACATGCATTAGAGCACATGGATATGAGCATAAGCGAGAACAGGGAGTGTGAGAGCAGGAAAAGCCTCTTTCAGGGAGTCAGACATGGTGCTCTGAAGTAGCATTTTAAATTTTATCCTAACCATGAGAAATAGACCTTAGAGATGCAAAATGTCTAGAGAAATACTGTATTAAAAGCTAGCATGTTCCATGCCATGAGATCAGGTAGGTGGGTGGTTGCTTTGCTTTGGAAGTAGTGAGTGTTGTGAGACTCCATCGTAATCAAATCTGGCTTCTGGAGAGCGCTTTTCATTCACAGACCGCCCCGTGCTTTGCAGGAAGAGTAAATCCCTTTACAAACAGGGACACAGAGGCAAGTGGAGGGGACACAGCCTCTCTGCTGGCCTGCTTGGTGGCTGGTAGAATGATGACACTGGTTGTGATCTTACGCAGTCACCAGCAAGCCCCAGAGAGCGTTGTCGTGTGCTAGCTGGGTAGGACACCTGGATATGGAAAGCTGGCAGACAGCAGCTAATTCCACCCAAAGCAGGAGCTGTAAAAAAGCGAAAGCGTGTGCTGGAAGCCCAAGGACACGAGTATGCTGGGCTGTGCTGCCTTGCCTTGCTTGCAACACTGATCTGTTGCTCTTGCTCTATGTGACTTCCTTCAGGTCTTGGGTGCTGCCTCTGGTTTCAGCTCCCTGATGGCTGCAGCCCATGGAACATCTTGTGGGTGCTCCCAGGGAAATACAACACCAAAAGGCAGCTTTGCTCTGATGTGATCACACATGGGGGAGGAGGGAAAGCAATGTGAATAATGCCTGTGGACAGGAGGTACAAGATAGCCATCAAACTGTCCCCACCTCATTTACACAGCAGATTTAGTTCAGAGATATCCATTTTATTGTGTGCTTGGGGTTCTGCAACAGCTCTGTGCCTGCACCCTTGCCCTACAGGACAACCCACGAGGGGGCACGCACCATGCCAGGGCTGGTGCAGCCTCCAGTGTCAGGAAGGGCTTGGGGGAACCTTGCAGGGTGTTAAAGAGGGGCTCTTTCTGTCTGCAATGGCAGGGGTTTGTTGGTTGGGTGTTGATTGGCAATAAAAATCCCCAAAGTCTGAAATTAAATGAAATGAAAATCAGTCCATTTACACTTGTTTTTCAAGGAATTAGGCCATTTTTAGCTTTCTCACCATGGGGCAGAGGGAAACACCCAGCTACAGCCTACTAGAAGTGAACACCTTGGATAAGTTCCAGGGGCTCCTTAGCCCATGAGACACACATCTCCATCAGCAGCTCAGCTCATGGCCGAACCCCTTTTTGGCAGGGCCAATCCCTCTCCACCAGCTGTGGAAGGACTCCAAACAGCGAGCACCCAGCTGAAGGTAGGAAGGAGGAAAACAGCCCCAATGGAGAATGAGACGGGGATGTTTTCTGGTCTGGCATAGCTCTCTCTGTGCTTCCACTGCTCTGCAGCCTTGTCTACTTGCACTTGAGCTTCTTTAGCTCTGCTGTGGCTACAGGGCACATGCATTTTGATAAGGTACAAGGGAGCATTCACTTCCAGTGTGAAACATCTCAGTCAAGAAGTGATTATGAAAAAGCCTGTTTGAATAGCAACACCTGAGCTTGGCTCACCAGCAGCCCCCAAGGTGCTTCTAAAAGTAAAAGCCATGTACCAGTGTTTTTACACTGAAAAGCCAAGAGAAATGATCACGAGTGAGCAGGAATAAAAAAACATATAAACCAAACATAGCATCCTATAATGTATCCATAAAAAGGGAAAACTCACGCTACTTGAAGTCTACAAATTCAAGTTTCTCATGGGAAAACGTAACTCCTGTTCAAATACTAATGGGTTGTTATCACAGGAATGTTTTAATTTAACTACTATGTACTATAAGAAGGGGCAGAGCAAGGTTCACAGAGCAAATGGCTGATGAACAATCTTCAATCTGCCAGTAAATGTTTGCTTTTTTTTTATACACTTCCCCTTCTTGATCTGTGTCTTAAACAGATTCTCCAAAGGGACATATAAAAGACAGCTGATTTCAGCTAGAGGTAATAGCACATATTTGTGTGTTTCTTTTATCCTTGTTTAAAATGGTAGATTTATGGCACTGATAGAGTGTCAGTCACCAGAGTAGCTGGCCCTGAGAGCATAGAAATTGATGGTATATGAGCAAAAATTGGCTTACTGGAAAGAAAAAATGCAGCACATTTTAGAAAAGCGATAGAGAAAAAGAAAGCAAATTGGGCATTGCAGCCACAAACCATCTCTGCAGGCTTCTCAGGACAAGAACAAACATCTCATGAAGCAAGAATAACTTCCAGGGACTCAGAGGCAGATGCTTGCCACCCTTTTCCAGGAACACAGCAGCCAGAGCTTGCAAGAGCTACATAGGAAGAAGAGAGAAAGAGCCTATGATCTTTCCTGTGGAAGCAGAAAATCCTTCTTTCTTTTTTCTGGAAACTCTCTTCTCAGCCAATTAATGGGTGGATGCCTCCACATTTGAAGGGTTTTGCTACTGCCTTGCATTACTACAACTGTAAGAAGAAAACTGTCTTGCTGCTAACACTCCCAAACCTGCAGAAACAATTTATATGTGTTTTGAGAAGTTTACAGGGAGCACTTGACTGACCTTGACCAGAAAAAATATGTGAGGGAAGGGAGTGGGATGCTTTTTCTATTAGAAGTCTCAGCATCTTCTGCCTGCCATATGTGAGCCTCCTCTGAGGATCTTCAACATGCTAATCTGACAGCAAAGTCTGTGCTAGGCTCTCCCAGCCAGAGAGTTGCTGATGTCCTCCCTGAATGGGGAGTGGGGTTTGGAGCCTGCTCAGATCCATTGCAGAGCAGAACAGTGGGACATTTTGGGGAAATTTAAACCTTGGGGGGGTGCTTACCCTCAGCCCTCTCATATGCAAGGTGGACTCTGATGACAGGAGTAATGGCCTGCAAAACCAGTAGTAGCTGCCGGGATACTGGGGTGAGAATGACTGGCTAAAAAGGAAAGAGGAAAACTTTGCAGACTGATGAGATTTCAAAGTGTCTGCTCCTGTAGTTTTCACAGTGTTGCCAGAGAGCCTGAAAGTATACAAGAACAAGCGACATTTGGTCTCAGTGTATGAAAAATAGTAAAGGGCCATAGCATCTGTCAGAGGCAATGTGAGCCAGCCAGAACATGGCTCCAGGCTGCATTTCCACCTGGATCCCTGATGTCCATTTGGCCCTCCCCATAGCTTCCTGACTCAGCTCTCCTGCTCGAGTTGCCATGCGCTGGACCATCTGCTGTGCTGGACTTCCAGCCACCATGGCTCAGAAGAACAGTGATGCATCACGGGCTTGTGCAGAAAGGCATGGGGAAGATGGAGACTTAACAAGGAGGGAGCTGCATTCTCAGCCCCTGAGGCTGCCTTACTTCCATCCCCCTGCACCTATCTTATCTTTGCCTCTTTCTAAAATAAAAGGAATAGAAAAATTAACAACATGAAAAAGGGAGGAGATGATAAATAGTATCTGAAAAATTATCTATGTCCTCATTTCAGAGCTTTGCATGGTAACAAGGAGGTAGAAGGCCTTTTTCTTTATTAATATATTAAAATATTAAAAGGCTGGGTGTCTCCTGAACCTACTCTGTTGTCATGGACTGAGAAAGCTCCTAGGAAGTGTTCTGCAGAACACTATTGCACTTGAGAAAATATCCAGGGGTGCCATTCAAGGACCAGAGCTAATCAAAGCTAAAAGACAAAATTTGCTATTGAACTGTTAATGGGGACTTGGGTCCAGCCTGGACAAGAGTGATATTTGCACCTTTGCTTTTGTGCTGAGACAAAATCTCTACCAATGGGACAGGAATGCTGTCAGGGGTCTGGCTGGAATCGGGAAGAATCAAAGCCACATCTCTTCTGATATCCTTTAGCTCCTTAGTCTTGTGGGTTTGAATGAGACCAGTTCTGTGGGAGTACTGCTCCTAGCAAACTTAAATCTGAGCCAGTGATGATCAAATTTCACGGCTATTGGGGGGTTTGGTTTGGCACGTTAGTGGTTCCCCTATCAGAATCTGTTAATTCCTTGGCAGTTATCAAAATACATGATTGTTCTTCTTTGTAAATCTTTGCCAATAAAGCAATAAGACTTTGATGCTGTTATAGCTGTTATGTTCTATTATACCCTCCGTTTGCCATTAATAATGTAACCATGTGGTGGGGCCTCGCTACTCATATATGAGAGTGACAGCCAGGCTGTATAACATATATGTGTGTGTATATATATATATACACACACACGCACTGAATAAAGGTTTCTTTGTTTTCTTTTCCTTGGCAGGTCACTATGGAAAGGATGTTTACCGAAGTGGAGGGCCAGATCTCCATAATTTCATCTCCTCCGGGTTTGTCACGTTAGGAAGAGGACACACGAAGGGTACAGTGGAAACAATTTTTTGCTAAATAAAAAGATTGTTTTAAATAAAAAAGCTATAACTCAGAAGCTGGGTTCTAAGTGCTATGAGATAACAGTATTGGACTGCAGTCAGTAGATTTAGTCTATAAAATATTGCTGCAGGTAAAATACTGTGCTCCTGGCAGAACCTTTTAAATCCTAGCAAGGGAGATGGTGGGAGAGTGTAGAGTTGGACAGCCAGACTCCAGACTCCACTCTGACTTTGCAGTTCAACAATTTATACTGCTTTGTGTTTTCCTGGGTGCATGGTTGCAAACCATAATTGTGCTGCTGTACTTATAAAGGGAAGGGGAAGGAGTGTAATGCTGTCCAAGGGCAGGCAGTTAACACTTCAAGAGTGCTTTTCTGGATTTCTTTTGTTTGACTTCTGGGCTTTTTTTGGGGGGGTAATATGAATATTTTATAAAATTATTTCTTTTTAGGTCCTAAAACGTATATTTTATGTGTTCATATAATCTGTGATATAATGTACAAACATGAAAACACAAAAATATACATATACTGCTCTGTGTATGTTCTGTGTATATGTACTGTATATAAAATATATGTTGAGAGACAGTTGTAGCTATATTAGATAAGTAACCATATATCCTAGGAGTTGTGGTGACACAAACACTATGAGATCTGACTCAAAGTAGCTGGTCACCAGAACCCCAGATGAATGTTCTTTTATGACGTTGTTGCATATTTGGTGAGTTTTTATAGTGTACAGTGAGACTATGTTTGGAGCATCTTTCTGTTCACACCCACACCCTGACTGAGTCACACTGGTGCACTGGCAGTGGGTTGCGACACTGGGAGTGCAAGCATGTGCCATGCCAGTACTCATCTGGTTTTGTGTCTTGCTGACTTTTGAGACTGTTGTACATTTATATAGACACAATGTATGTGGAGAAACCTATATAGACACAATGTACTGTATGTGGAGATGTGTCCATGTGCTCACCTGGTTGAATGCACCTGTGTTGTTTCTGTGGATGACCATGACTCACAAATTATTAAAAGACCTTTATTTTTTCGTACATTTCCTGCACTTTTTCAAATTCTCCACGAGTGTCATCCAAAGCAGTGTTGGTCCTGTAGAACTGTCAGAGAAGAACAAATATATGTATATTGTCTGTGTATGTCTGTGTGTGCTTAAATAAAGTTTACTGAGGCTGAGGCAGCACCCGTGGGCCTTGTAATACAATACCCTGCAATTCCAGCCTGGCACTGCACTGGTGGGAGGAAAGCAGAGAAAACCACCATGAACCTTCGGGTGGGCTGGGAACTGAAATGGTTCAAGGAAAGACTCATGGATGGCATTTCACACAAGGTCCCCCTTTCTCCTCCCCATCCAAAAGGAGTTTTACAGTAATGTCATACCACATCAGGCTTGACAGTATCGTTAGGATGAGATAGCAAGTGTACCCTAGTAGAGGGATGATCTACAGAGTGGTGTGTCCAGATAGCCTTCATCAAGCACATGGATAACCCTGGGCAGGGCTGTAAAACCTGCCACTGTCTGAGATATTTAGATTATCTTCAAGCAGTTTTCTGTACAAAATATTTTTCCCAGTTCCTTCCCAGATAAGAATAAAACCTGATTTCCTTCTTTAACTGAAAAGTCTTGGGGGCTCTGTTCTTCTGTAGATGGGCCAGTGGTTTTCACACCTTTTCCACTGACTTTGCTGGAAGCCCCCCCGAGCACATTTCCTATCCCTGGGAAAGTGGGAGAATGGGCAATGGGAGTCCAAACTGTTTATATACCACCTCTTGCAACAGCCATCAGATAGGGCGGTGCTTTCCAAAGTGAGTAAAAGACTTATTATCTGAGGAAATTAAACTACATCTTAGCTGTTTATGGACATAAAAGAATGGATTGGCCTTTGACTTTACATTTCAGCTACCTGTAAATTCACGTTTTACTTGAACAGTTACATAATGTTAGCTTCTTACTTCTTAATGGTAATTCACATGCCCACTCACTACTGGTGCAAGTGATTAACATCTCCACACATTCTGCAGGCAAACTGCCTTGTTTGCTTGTACAAATGTGTAGATTTGTCAGCGATATGATTTGATTGCCTATTTGTGCTGTCAAAGCAGGAACTTTGGATGTAACAAATGGCTTGGGGGGTCTATCATTAGGATTGTGCTCTATATCATTTGACTATTTCTGGAAATATTACATGATAGAATTCCTGTGTTTGGTTTGAACTGGCAACCCAGTTGTACATGTAGACAGGAGAGAGGGGTGTTCCAGCAAGGGTTACAGTCCTGAGCTTTAGCTGAGCAGCTTCACACTCAGATTTTGTCCTATTTCAGTTCCAGCGCATGTGTTAAAATCTCCACCTCAGCTACCATTAGCCAAATAACCTCACCCTGCCTTGTTGTTTACATGGAGGAGGGTTTTGCTTTTAGACTGAACAAAGCCAATGAAGTTTATCTCAATATTTCTTTGCACTGGGAGACACATTTTTGGTGTTTTCTCAACTGTCTTCAGTGCTGGCAGAACTCCAAGTGCTGAGTAATATTTAAGAGCTGATCTATTTTGGGCAGAAGACAAAGATGTGAGACATGCCAAACTACCATGGATACCAAATCAGAATATGCACATGTCTGACATCCACAAGCTCCTGCAAGATTGTGATTTATGATTCTTATATGACACTCCATTGTGCAATGCATCACTGCCTGGCATTTAAGTCTATAAAATCACTACACAGTGTGTTCTTCAAACCATGGTAAAAGACTTCGCTGTCAGTCTGTCATGATAATCTAGGAATGAATCCAAAGTCTTTAGGCCATAGAAAGTCTCCATGGTGAGATGCATGGCAGGGCTCACCTGATGTTAGATATCTAGAAGTTAGACATTTTATTCTGAGGTAGTAGCCTTCAATTCCATGTAGAGACACCTGGGAGACACCAGCACCTCTAAATGAGTATTCACTGGATAGGCACTAGGCACCTCTTCCCCTCCTCTAGCAAGAGGGGATCCATGGCAGTCTAGGTCTTTTAGCCATCAGAGGAATGCAGATGAATCCTGCCTGCACTTGCTTATATAGGAGTAGCTACTATTGCTCCAATTGCTGTGGCAGTTGCTGTAAGAGTTCAGTGCTCTAGTGAAACAAGTAGGAACACTGAAGACAGGAGCTATCACATCCCTCTGTGCACTAACCTAATTTTAAAAACAGCTTCTTCAACCTAGTCTCTCTCTGAGCATCTTGCTGGTCTCAGATGTCCCAGGTTGAGACTACCCTAACATGACCCATACTCACTGTCCTGCCAGGGCTCTGCAGAGCTCTGCTCAGTCACGCAGGCTGGTGTAGAAACTTACACAGCTGCAACACGACATGGAGCAAGCACTCACATGGATATTCAACCACAGTGAGTGAACAAGTCTTGAAGAGCAATAAATTCACTCCAGATTAAATACTCCAGATCATGATTGTTGAGTTTTCAGGTAAAAATGCATTTTTTATTTGTTTTTTTTTTACTCTCAGGCTCAGACCTTGAAAATAGTTTCTGAATGGAATTGGACTCCTTGTACTTCACCAGTCTGTGACAGCAGTAGCAATTCTGTAGAGCAGATGATAATCTCACTTTGTCACTAAACAACTTCTTTCTTTTCCTAGTAACTGCAACAGTAATAAAAATAGTGATTTTTTTTTCTTTCTGGAAAAGCATAATTTCCCAGTTGAACTGAGTGGTAGGGGTCAAGGAACAGTGAGGCAAGAGGAATATGGCATTTTAGACTCCTCTACTGTAGAGTCATCTCATAGGGAAAAACAGGACTTTTCCTACAAGCTGCTGATTTCTTGTAAGTTTATGCTAGATCCTTGAGGAGGTGCAGAGGTAGGGCTGCAACTTGAAAAGCATGTGTGGAAAACTCAGGAAGAGTCAAGTGTCCTCACAGCCCGCCCAATAACACTTTCAGAAATGGAACCTCTCACTTTTGGTTCAAGGCTGCAAATCTTTACTGTTCCTGGATTCACTAGGAGATGTGCTCTGAATTAGGGCATCTGCAGGTGTCTCTTTTCTTTAAGTATCCCACTAAAATTTGCACCTAGGATGTTCTCCAGCAGTGCCAGGAGGCAGGAAAAAAAAAATGAACCATGTATCCAAGTCAGTGTGTTGTGGCTGTTAAAGCCTGACTACATTGCTGCTGGCATCTCTGTGGAACTGCAGCAGCATCCTGTGGTGTGGGCAATGTGAAAATTATGTTGGTGTAGAGAAGCCAGCCTGGTGACTGAGCAATAAAAGCTACCCAGAGTCGCATTTTATCTTGTAATATTTGGTGCAGATATGGCAAGATTTACAGCCTGAATGTGGGATTTGCCTGCCTGGGCCTCTGTTCTCACTGGTTTGCAGCATGGTTGTACCTCATGCATCCGCAAAGTGGCTCAGGGCACACTTTTGATGGTACAGCTGTCCAGTCTGAGCTGGTTTTGGTTCAGTGAATGTGACTCATGGTGGGAACATGGTATATGTCCTTTAGCAGGACCTTACACCCAGCTAGACATCATACTCCCCAGATACAGCCTCACCCCTCGCCATGTCCTGATAAATATCCCCATCCCTGTTACCTGAAAGGATGCACAGCATCCATGTACAGGCAGAGGGGAAAGTGAGAGGTCAGCTGTTGCTGACTTCTTGCTTTTTCACGGTTGAAAATATGTCCCTCAAATCAGCTGGGTTTTGTGCTTATTCAAAAGGAGCAAATTGTTCTCAATCTAGTCCCACCTTAGAAAATGATCACCTTTCTCTCCCAGGCCATGTGCACATGCATGTGCATCAGTTGTTTTGAGGACAGACAGACCATATACCCCATGGTGCCAGAGCAGTGGAAGGTGGCTACCACATGGGTTCAAGGTTTGGAAGCTGCAGAGGTTTGTAAGAGTGAGAGGAGACAAGGTAATCTCAGGGTGGGAGGGTGAGCTGACAGGCTTGAGGTAGCAGCTAAGTGTCACAGCTCCTTC